CAGTGTTGCAATCTGTATTCGATTCTTGGCAAAAGAACTTTATTGTTTATGTAGACTAGGTGTGCTAGAGACACCTTCTTCTTTTTAAGCATATTGACTACAGTGCTTATTTCTTTTTTAATTAGATTTATTGCTGCTTTTCTATCTGCCTTTGCTGTAAGCCAAACCCCTAGAAATCTTGTTGTCTCTCTTTCTTTTTTGATTGGGACTTTCTCCGCCCTATTTTTTAACTCCAAGAAGTCATCTTTACCCTTGCTCCTATTTACTACTATTAGTTCTGACTTCTTAGTATTGATCTCAATGTCATTGATTCTGTAGAAGCTTTCTGTGATTGCTAAGATTTTTTTAAGGTCTTCTTTGAACTTTGCGATATATGTCATATCATCTGTGTAGGCAATTACTTCTACTCTTTTTTTTTGCCTCTCTGTCTCATTTGTTTTTAGATTCATTAGCCATTCAACCTGGATTTCATACCCTGCTTTTTTTTCTTTCTGTATTGCCACTAGTAGAGGGTCATAAAAGATTTTTTACACTAACGGAGATATTACCTCTCCTTGGTCGATTTCGTCCTGTGCTTGGAAACGATCTGTTGGTCCATAATTTGTTAGAACCTCTATTTCTTTTTTTTCATATAAGTCTAAAATGAAACTTCTTGTCGTTTCTGGAATTTTTATTCTTTTAAGTGCTATGTCTAGCTTGTGGAGGCTTATTGAATCGAATGCTTTTTTCATATCTTGAAAAAAAAGCCAGACCTCTTTTTTCTTTTCTTTAGCATCTTCTAGAATATAATTTAGTAGATGTATTGGCGCAGCCATTCCTTTTTCAGGTAATCCTGCGAAATTTCGTCCTTTAAGGACTTCTTTTTCTTTTAGTACCTGGCTGAGTCTATTGTTTACTATTTTCATTACCGATTTTTGAAAAGTCTTTAAAAGTAGAATAGGTCTAACATTATTGAGCTTGTATCCCTATTCTTCTTTCTTTAGAATTGGGTAAAGCATTCCAATTTTCCACTTCTTGGGGATTTTACCTGACTTTATACATGCTGAGGCCAGACCGACAAAGATGCTTTTTGCAAATTTTCCTACATTTTTGAGCAGCAGGTAAGGAATTCCAGATATTCCTGGGGCGGAGCTATTTTTGGTTTGGTTTAAAGCCATCTCCCATTCTTTTTGTTTTACAGAACTAGTTAGATTCTCGTACCATTCTTTTTTAACTTCTTCGATTGGCTCATATTCTTTTCTCCAAAAGGATGGGAGTCTGTCTACTTTTGTATTTCTTTCTCTGAATTGCCTTTGGAAATAGTCTTTGACTGTATTAAGCACTTCTTAAGGCTTGTGTATCAGCCCTCTTCTGCGTTTTTCCTTTCTACTACTACTCTGTTTAGTTTTAGCTTATTGAATGGTTTTTCTAATAGGCTAGTAATTATTTTTCTTTGGTCGCTTACTATTATCATATACTTTCTTTCAATATGTTCTTGTATTTTTTTTTTCTTCCGCTTTTCTCTTTTTTGATTGCCATGTTTTGTAAAGGCTCTTCCACCACATCTCAAGCTCTTTTCTATCATTCGTTTCTTCTTAACAATCTTGTATACCTGCTTCAAACTGATCTTCTATATATTTGTCTTTTAATACTGCTAGCTATTCTTTTGCTTCTTTGCTCTCCTGCTTTTCATATGAGTTTGTTGTATTTTCGAAATATGAGGGTTTTTTGAGCTTACGATACCATTTTCCCATTACACTTATATCTTTCCTCAAATCCTTCAACTCCTCATTTTCCATTTGGTGGTCTTGAAGTTCAGGCATTTTTTCTTTTTTAGATAGTTTACTTTTTGCCACTTTTTGAATTACTTTTTGTATTTTTTCCCAGGTATTATTGAAATCTATATTTTTTTGTAAATTTGTTATGCTAGGTAGTTGTTGTTGTTCTCTACCTTTTTCTTTATTTTCAAAGAGCTTCTTTAATTCTTTTTCTAGTTTTTCTTTATAATTGTTCCAGTCCTCTTCAGTTATTTTTTTAAGATCTATACAGAC